GTGCTGCCTGCCTTGCCTACAGTGGGGGCCCATGCCAAGAGACACCCTGCTTGCCTCCATGGTGCCCTGGGGTTTCGATGGTCTTGCGATTGAACGCGTGACGTTCCCACACCAAACACCAAAGGACGTCCTGGGATCTCAGGGTTGGGTTTCTTGTGACAGGTTTCTTGTGGACTGGCCTCCACTGTATCGGCCTGTTTCCCTCCGGGGAGGCAGGGGATGGGAGGTCGACGGGGGGGGGCTCGGGCGGGGCTGGGACGAGGGCAGTGAGGGCCAGTATAATCATGGGCGAGGAAGAGACAACTACAAGCACTGGACTGAGGCAACCGCCCCGCAGATCCCCTCGCGTCGTGAAACAATCACGACTGACGCTTTGTCGCTACTTTCAGCCTTTAGGGGCCCCTACCAGGCCTCGGTACCGTAAACAAACATTTCCAGATAGAACACCAGTCCCGAGAAATGGTTCGAGACCTCTGGTCGGACGGGGCTAGGACGATAACAATTCCATCCCAGAGCTTTCCAGAACGCTCTCAGATCGTTCCAGAACGCTCTGAGAAGACCGTGGCGCCCGATGCATCCGGCAGAGCCGCGGGATCGCAGAGATTCCCGAGGTATCCTTACCCGAATGTGCCCTCGTCTTGGCTTCGTCTTACAGTCGGCCTTGCTTAGTGGGTAGATCGACCCTGCCAAGTCGAGGGCACCCTTGTGTCGCGTGTCTCGCGACCCGTGCCTTCTACATTCCTGCGGCAGTGTGCAGCCCTCGGAAGGGTCCTGTGTCCTCCTCGCGTGCCCTCTCCAATCAGGCCCGACAATCGGGGGAGGGGGGTGGTGGGAGAGGGGGGCGGGCGGGATGGTGGGAGCAGGGGGAGGAGGAGGAGGAGTAGGAGGAGGAGGAGGGGTAGGGGGAGGAGGAGGAGGAGGAGGAGGAGGAGGCGAAGTAGGAGGAGGAGGAGGCGGAGGAGGAGGAGGGCGAGGATAAGTTTGTTTTGAGGAGGAGGAGGAGGGAGGAGGAGGAGGCGGAGGAGAAAGGAGGAGGGAGGAGAGGAGGAGGGGAGGAGGAGGAGGAGGGGAGGGATGGGGGAGGAGGTATGGGGGGGGAACATGGGAGAGGAGGGTGGGAGAGGAGGATGGGGGAGGAGGATGGGGCAGGAGGATAGGAGGAGGAGGATGTGGGAGGAAGAGGAAGAGGAGCAGGAGGAGGAGGAGGACGAGGAGCAGGAGGAGGAGGAGGCGGAGGAGGAGGAGTAGGAGGAGGAGGAGGGGTAGGGGGAGGGGGAGGAGGAGGGCCTTCTCTTGGCTAAGAGGGATGCTAGGGGTCTGCCGACCCGACCCTAACCCGAAACCTCGTGGCACTGGGCCACCAATATTCTCCACAGCGGCCGAGGGTGGGGCCGCTGAGACGGCAGAACGCTGCCGACGCTGAACGAGGTGTTGGGCCCTGATGTGGCGTTGCACACCTAGCCGCAGCAGCACCTTACCTCCTCCGCCCACGATCGCGGGGGGGGAGGGGTGGGGCTGAGCAACGGTCGGGGCGGACTGGCAACCCAAATCCACCCCCGTGCCCAGACAACCCACGGGGACTCCCCCTGTGCCACTGTCACCGTGGAGGGCGCCACCAGGCGCTCCACAGCTGTGCAACAGGGTCACGCCAAACAGCTCGCACAGTGAACAAGGGGGAATTAGGCATCGCCTGACTGACGGAACCCCAAGGCTCGGGACGGAACACCAAGGCTCGGGTTCCAGGGCTGGCTGCGTAACCAGCACCGCCAGCCAAGGCGAACCCACACCCCAGAACGAAACCTGCAGTGGGCCTAGGCAGAATACAGCACTGTGCCGTAGAAGAGAGTGTGCAGCGCTCCTTCCCCCTGAAGCGGGGTGCCTGACACGCGTGCTGGGCAACGCGCGCACGCACACACGCACAAGTGCACGGATGGGCCCTGATGTGGCGTTTGCACACCTAGCCACGGCGTTGCATTCTTCCGCCGCACTGGAGCGGGGGGTGGAAAGGTGGGGCTGAGCATCACAGTCGGGGTGGATTGGCAGCCCAACGCCACCCCCGTGCCTAGAACCCTCGGGGGCGCCCCTTGTGCCACTGTCACCGTGGAGGGGCCTGCGGGCTCCACGGCCGTGCAACGAGGTATCGCCAAACAGCACACTGCAGTGAAAAGGACGGCCAGCCACGCTTGGCTGGCGGAAACCCTAGGCTCGGGTACCAGTGCTGGCTGCGCGTCACCAGCACCGCCAGGCAGAACGAAACAACACCCCAGATCGAACCTGCTGCGGGCCCAGGCGCAGCTGCAGCACCATGCCGCAAAGGACAGAATGTCTAGCGCTCCTTCCCCCTGGGTCGGGGTGCCTGACACGCGTGCGGGGCCGCGCGCGCACGCACACACGCACACGTACGCAGAGTGCCCTAGGCGACGGCGGGACGACTCGGCGCTGCCCACCCCTGGTGTAAATAACGCCAGGAGGGTGGGCAAGCCTCGTCCATGGTGTGGGCCTGTCTGGACTCTAGAGCAAAGTTGAGGCTGATGAGTTCGGGCCACCTGTCCTCTAGGGCGGGGCGGCCTCCTGCCTGGCTCGGGCTGCCTCTCTGAGCAGCTGTGCCAGCGGCACGGGAGGGAGACTGAGCACAATCGGACTGACGGCGGCACTCTTGGGGTGACGGCCAGACTGTGCTCTCTGCAGCTGCAGCTTAGCCCCATTATGGGGCGGTCTCAAATTACAATCGCCAGACAAACCTTGCGAATTGCCTTCCTTTAAGGAACCACACTTATGGCACACCAAGAAATTCGTTGGCTGGTCGAGGCGCTCATAATAGAATAAAGTATGCCCCCTAGGGTTGGAGGCAAGGCTGGACATCTGGGGGCAGTCTCCAGGACAGTCCATTGCTCGGCATCGCTCTTCATATGCTTTGAACGTGCGGACTCGGATGCGGCAAATCGTGCATCGGCGCTGGCCATTCACTATCGCCCAGACGTGGGCCCTCGGGGTCACGCGAGGGGCCACAGGAGGCGGAGGGGGAGGAACGGACGGCGGGGCCCCAGGGTCCTAGGAGGCCAAGGCCGAGGCAGCCCCCCAAGGAGGGGAGAGGCTCTTCACGGGCTTGGCCAGCGCCTTGTTACGACGAGGGGCTATCGCGGGCCACTCTCCAAGGGCTTTGGACACACATATCGAATGTATTTCTTAGGCAGGGCAGTGTCGTTCTGATACTGCTCTACTTCGTCGTGACTGGGCTGATTGCCAAGGTTCGCGGCGGCCTTGGCAATCCTATCTGCGGCATCGTTGCCGCTGGCCAAACGGAACTCTTCATTATCGGGGGGCAGCATCTCCAGATTTTGGTGAGCCTTGACTTTCGGGAGTTTGGGGCCGAGGTCAAAACAGCCTCCGCCCGCGAGCATTTTACAACCAGATCATTGATTACGGCGAGGGTATCCAGCCTCGCCGTGCAATTGCAACACCCCTTAATAATCCGAGTAAATATTGTCAACGTGAGGCGAAAGCCTGCCTGCCGCGACTGCGGCGAGGTGCTCAGCGGCCCCCGAGGTTTGGGCCCCCAGGGACCCAACGCGGTCACAAAAGGTGGCAACCTCCACCCCATCAACCATGCACACTACCGCAAACCTTGCAGCGAGGGGGACGAGAAGGAGGAGGAGGAGGAGGAGGAGGAGGAGGAGGAGGAGGAGGAGGAGGAGGAGCAAGAAGAGGAGGAGGAGGAAGAGGAGGAGGAGGGGGAGGAGGATGAGGGATCGATGGGATCCGATACCGTTACCCATCCCTCGTTTTTGTCTTCTTGGGCCTCTTAGAAGGTGTTCGTCGTGTCCCAGCCTGGGAGCGCTCCCAGGGGCTCTCGCCTCGCCCCACACGTCCGTCGGAAGCCCGAATTGTGATCGAGAAACCACTGGAGGAGAAAGATATGGGGGAGAGAGGGAACGAGGGGAGGAGGAGGAGGAGCAGGAGGAGGAGGAGGAGGAGCAGGATCACGGGGAGGTGGCCTGCGGCAGGAGGCGGCAGGAGGAGGAGGCGGGAAGGACCCTCCGGGTGCGGCTGCGCCCCGGGGCGGTGTTTTTTTCAGCGCGGCGGGCGCGGGGTCGGACGGGCCAGGCAGGAGGGGAGGCGAGGAGCGGGGGCTCGCCATGCCATGGAGTTGGGCCCCGAGGGAAGCGGGTGCTGAGGTTTTTCGCCGTTTCTGGCTTCCCGGGTTTCTCCGTGGGCCCCGGGACTGTCAGCAAGCGCCGCAGGAGGAATGAGGAGCTCGCCCTGAGGGGGAGGCCCTGAGGTCCAGGAGCCGCTTTCCTCGAGAGCGTTTTTTTCGTTACCCTCTGGGCCATCACGCGCGTCTCCAGTATCCCTCCCCTTCCCTGCCCCCCCCCATAGCGTAACGCTCCCACCCCATCAGTGCGCCCCCAGCGCTGCCGCAGTGCGTCCTGACCACAGTCTGGGTGGGGGGGGGGCGGGGGGCGCGCGCTAGGTCATGCTCCCTCCCGTCCCCCCCCCTCCCCCCATCACGCCCGTGACGGCCGCGAATTAAAAAATGCGATCGTGGAGGAGGAGGGACAAGGGATCGCAGCACTCGCGCAGCCGGCCTCCTGTGAGAGCCGCGAGGCCGAACAGGCAGGGTCAGCCCGCGTGGCAGGAGGCCCGGGCCGCCCTGAAGCCCCGAGCAGGGCAGAACGCCACGGGGTTCCCGAAGCGGGGGACGAGATGTGCGATGTGTCGATTCAAGGATCGACTACTTACTGGATTTACCCCGAACTTTCTTTTTCCGTCGAATCTGCGAGCAAGACTCAGTAGAGCTACTGAACATTCGACATCTACATTTTCTGTTCGTACATTCGACCGAACAAAAAACACATTCTGGGGTGAATCAACTATGTAGTCGATCCCCAACTCGAATTTGGGGGGAGGGGGGCGGGGTCAGGAGGATTGGAGAAGAGAGAGGGGGAAGGGATGGTGGTGGACAAAGACGGCAGGGGGGACAGCGACGGCGGGGCCTCCAGGCCCAGATGTGCCGCGGGACGATCGTGATCTTCGTCTGCGCGATGAGCGTGGTGTTCCTCGGGAGGCGGCAGCACAGCTACCACATCGCAGGACGGGCCACGGCCTCGTCTCATCCCTCCCCCACATCTCGCCCCTCCCTCCCTCCCTCCTTCCTGCCTTCTCGTCCTCGTCCTCGTCCGCCTCGTCGTGCTCTTCCTCTCCTGCGCTTCCGCTGCCGCTCTTCTCCTCGTTCTCCTCTTCGTCCCTCGTCCGTCTGCCTCGTCCTCTGTCTGAAGCTCCTCCTGCCCGCTCTCCTTCTCCTGCTCGCTTACCGCTATCCTGCTCCTTCCCGTCATGCCCCAGCATCCCACCCCCCTCCCTTCTCCTCCGTAATTTCTCCCTGCCTTGCTCTCCCCTGGCTCCCTCCTCCCGTGGCCCCAGGAGGACGAGGAGGAGGAGGAGGAGGAGGAGGAGGAGGAGAAAGAGGAGAAGGAGGAGGAGGAGGAGGAGGTGGAGGAGGAGGAGGAGGATCAGGAGGATGAGCGGCTCCCTCCTCCCGTGGCCCCTCCCGGGAACCCTCCACGAGAGCACGGCTCCCGCGCCTCGCCCAGCCACGGCGACAAAGGGGCCACCGCCGCCCAGCTCCGCCCGCGGCCCCAGGGGCGAGCTCCGTGGCGCTCGGGACGGGAGCCCGCAGCGGAGCGACATGAGGATGCAGCTCCTGGGGGGGTTGATTCCTCCTCCCTCCTCCTCATCCTCCTCCTCCTCCTCCTCCTCCTCCTCCCTCCCTCCTCCTCCTCCTCCTCCCCTCCCCCTCCTCCTCCTCCTCCTCCTCCTCCTCCTCCTCTCCTCCTCCTCCTCCTCCTCCTCCTCCTCCTCCTCCTCCTCCTCCTCCTCCTCTTCTCCTCCTCCTCTCCTCCTCCTCCTCTCTCCTCCTCCTCCTCCTCCCCCTCCTCCTCCTCCTCTCCTCCTCCCTCCTCACTCCCCCTCCCCCTCCCCCTCCTCCTCCTCCTCCTCCTTCTCCTCCTCCTCCTCCACCTCCTCCTCCTCCTCCTTTGACGTCAGGAGTCTGCAACGGAGCGGCATCAGCGACATCATGATGGAACTCCTGGGATGGCGCCGGCACGGTGGGGGCGCGCGTCGAGAAACCATCTCCTTTTCGTCAGGGCACCCTGGGTCTCTTGGCTCCACGCGCCGCGCGGCGGCTTCCCGCAGCCGCTCAGGAAGCTCCTGCGTTCAGGGTGCTCCGGGCTTCCTCTCAGGTGCACCTCGCGCGCGGGTTTTCAGGGTTGGGTTCCTTGCGAGAGTTTCTTGCGGCAGCGCCCGCACTGTAATGTCCGTGGTCGGAAACAGGCCCTGGGCTCAGTGACCTCGCCATCGGGCTCCAGCATTCCTGTCTTTCGCGCGATCGTCTCCCAGTCTGCGAGTGCCGCCGCAGGCTTCAGAGGAGGCAAATGTACACGCGGGTCGTTGAAAGTAGGTATTTTTGGGTCCCCAGATCCCAATCTACTTCAAGCGCCTTCCTACTTCAAGAATCGGCACGCTTTTGCTGTGGCTTGTTATTCTCTGGGGGGGCCTGGACCCAATCAACTGAATCCGGCTTCCTACTTCATGTTTTTACCTACTTCTTCCGACCGACGTGTACCCGTAATTACCGCTACCCGTCCCCCTGTGTTCCCCTGTTTGGGCCACCTGGAAGGCCCCCGTCGCCCCTCGCTCGATTCGCCTCGCATTGCTGGTCAGAGCGCGCCCGGGGGAGAGGTCCGGGGAGTAGCGGCACAGGCGGCCCGGATTAGTAGGTCGACCCTGCCAGATCAAGGATATTTTTGTGTCCTGTGTCTCGCGACCCATGTTTCGTACGTTCCTGTGGCGATGTGGCTCTCGCAAGGGTCTTGTGTCCTCTCGCGTGTCCTCTCCAATCAAGCCCACTGTATGGGTACCGATCGTTTTCCCCAAGACTAGTGGCATCCCGCGCGGCGCTCTAGGCCAATGGACATCCCCGCCGATCCCCCCCAGACGCCACCGTGCAGGCCTCTGGGAGTTGGCCTGGTGTCGCTCCCGCTCCTGCCCCTCCCGCCGGGGTCAAACAAGGGCACGGTCCGCGCATGTGGTGCCTGAGATCACCGAGCCTTGCCCTGACTCGTCGTGGCCCTGAGGGTCGGGTCAATGATCTGTTTTGTTTGGCGGCGTTCGAGCAGCTCGGAGCCCAGTGCTGACCAGATGGCGTTTCTGTTCTCTACTCCCGTCGCCTTAGGTCGGGCATGTCCTCCTAGAGGCGGGTTTGAGACAAAAGACCCAAAGTTCAAAATTGTCGAACATAGTAAAAACAAACAAATAGTCCCCCGACTATTTCTTGACTGACTTAACCGTTGTCGGATAGCGGAGGTCGCTCAAGCAGGCTACAGTCAACCCGCATTGTAAGGATGGGCAACTTTCCCAAGCGTACCCTTGCATGCTTGCCTCATCGGTCTATCCTTCGCCACTTTCGTTGGCCGCGCCCCGCTCGAAAGGCTTCGAAATGGGCGTCCAAGACCCCTGCATCCTTACCGAGCAACCTTACTGCACGGGTTGACTGTATCGGGGCGTGAGAGTTTGAGGCAGGATCTCCGCTCTCGGAGTGCGTATGTCTCTTCGTTGCATTCACCGTGTCCTAAAATGGGCTTCTTGCTGTGACTCGACCGCCTCCGCCTCACCTCACACCCGCCCCCCTGGTGCATTCACACCCGCTCACACTCAGACTCGGTCTGCATTTACACTCAGACTCACTCAGGCTCGCTCATACTGAAAGTCACTCACACTCAGACTCACGTTGACTCGCTCGCAATCACTTAGCATCGCTCGGACGTGTGCATTTTTTCTCGGCGAGAACCATCGAGGACCATCCTGGACCATCGAGCAAAAAAAACACGCACGAAACCGAAACATGCACGGGAATTGGACGTCCGAGCGACGGCAAGATCAGACTCATTCACATTCAGACTCACTCCTACTCAGACTCGCCTGGGCCACTGCTCACCGCGATACCGCCGGCGTGGCTTCGGGAAACCCCACGGTGGGGAGCCGCCAGGGGTTTGGCATCGCTCGGACGTGTGCATTTTTCCTCCGGCGAGGACCATCGAGGAGCATGCTTGATCATTTGGCGAAAAAGCCACGCACGAAATCGAAAAAGACACAGGGAATGGATGTCCGAGCGATGGCGAGCTTAGGTGCCCAACACCCTTGGCTTTCGGAGCAGGTCGTGAGGATGTCTCGGGCGAGATGCTGGCGTCCGCACTCCCAGGGGGATGCCGCCAGGTGTAGGGGCACTCCAGGATTCCCGCCCAGATTGTGGGCGTGTCTCCGGCGGGTTTGGCCTTCTTGTGTACCAAGACGTCTTCGGCTTTCGGAGCAGATTGTGAGGATGTCGCAGGCGAGATGCTGGTTTCGGCAATCCAAAGGGGGGGCCACCACAGGTGGGGACACTCCGGAATTCGTGCCCAGATTGTTCAGGAGGAAAAAGAATCACACAGACACAATTAATCTTCGATTCCCCAGAAAATATGGGAAAATATGGGAAGTGGGGGGGAAGACAAAAACCCAGAAAATATGGGAAGATATGGGGAATCCCTCTATTTGAGTGTATTTCTTTGTGTGTCCTGGTGCCCCTTCAATTGTGGGGATGTCTCAGGCGCTTTGCTTTTTTGGGTGCCCAACATCCTTTGCTTTCGGAGCAGGACGTGAGGACGTCTGGGGCGGGGCGCCGGTTTCATCACTCCAAAGGGGGAGCCGCCACGGGGTATATCACAGGCCCGTTCGCGCCCAGATTGCAAGGATTTCCCAGGTGGTTTGCCTCATTCGGACCCCTGACTCGTCTGCGTTCAGAGCAGATTGTGAGGATGTCTGAGGCGGGCGCTTGTTTCAGCGCCCCAAAGTGAAGCCGCCAGAGGGTATGGCACGGGCCCGCTCGCGCCCAAACTGCAGGAGTGTCTGAGACGATTCGCGTGTTTCGGACCCCGCATTCGTCTGCGCTCAGAACAGATGTGTGAGGATGGTCTCAGGCGGGGCGTTGGTTCCCGTGCCCCAAGTGGTCCATATTGTGGGGATGTTTCAGGCGATTTGACTGCTTCGGTGGACGAAGATGAAGACTAGGACGACGACGACGACGACGACAACGACTAGGGCGACGACGGCGCACACTCACACTCAGACCGTCAATATCTCTCACACTCACACTCACACTAAGAGACCCTCAGACCTCTGACACTCACACTCACACTCACTCTCAGACCACACACTGAACATCCACTCAGATCTCTCACGCTCACACCCGCTCTCAGACTTTTCACATTCACTCACAATCATGCGCATAGACTCACTCCCACTCATGCTCATTCACACTCATAATTACTTGCTTCCTTTCCAAGTAATCACATTCAGACCCGTTCATGTTCATATGTTTTCGCACGTACGCGTTCGTAGGTGGAAAAGGCGTGGGCAAACAGATGCACTTTTGGGGACCTCCGCGTCGAGTGACTTCTATGTTTTTCTTAGTCGTATACTTCGTCACCTTTCTATTCGTCTTGGTAGTCTAATGATGTCTGCTCTTCTCGTGTCTCTTCTAATTATTTGTATTTTTCCGATTTTCTTTCCCCGCCAGTCGCAGGAGTCTCCCTGGTCACCCTCGGTATCGTGCTCGTGGCGGCGAGCGCGCTTGCCTCCGCGAAGACGACCTCCTCCGGCCACATGGGGTTCGGCATCGCCCTCTGCATCGTGGCCCAGGTCTATTGCTCGTTGGAGAGGGCGGGGCACGGCCATGGTCAGCAGAGGCCCCCCTCTGATCAGGGGCCACGTGAAGGGGCCGAACGGCTCGAGATGACAGTTTTGTCCAGTCGTTCTCGCGAATTCTCGGCGGTGTTCCAGCCTCGGGATGCCTTCCAGCGGCTGCGCCTCGCCGACAGCGTCTCGGGGGTGCCTGGATCGCCGCGAGCGGCCGCCAGAGAGCCGAGTCACCACCCGCAAGCCAGGGGCAGCGTTTGGGGGGGGATGGGCTCCGGGGGGGACGCACCGATCCCCCAAGACGCCCACAGATCGCCGCTCTCGGGCCCCGATGGCTTGCCCCTGCCCAGGGCCGTGCGCTCTTGCCAGCGGGGGCGCATCGCCGATCCATCAGCGACGCATCACCGATTCCAGGTCGATGTGCCCCCTCCCCCTGAGCCGGTCCCCTCAGCGACGACGACAGCGACGGCGACGGCCACGGCTCTCCCCCCCCCCATCCCCCTTTTCCTCCTCCTCCTCCTCCTCCTCCTCCTCCTCCTCCTCCTCCTCCTCCTCCTCCTCCCCCCTCCTTTCTCTCCTCCTTCTCCTCCTCCTCTTCCTCCTCCTCCTCCTCCTCCTCCTCCTCCCCTCGTTCCCTCTCCCCCCCATCTTCTTCTCCTCCAGTGGCTTCTCGATCACAATTCGGGCCTCCGACGGACGTGTGGGGCGATGCGAGAGCCCCTGGGAGCGCTCCCAGGCTGGGACACGACGAGCACTGGCAGTGCGCAGCGCTGGCTGAAAGAGCGAGGCGCAGGCTGCAGTCGATGAAGAAAAAACGCCACAGACATATTCTTTGGGGCGCTCCGCGCGGATTTCTTGGGTCCGCGCTGGGCACCCCCGGCGCGCTGCGCGCGTCTTGGATCCGCGCGCAGCGCCCAAAGTTTCAGTTCATGTCGTTTTTTGTTCAAATGTTTTTTCTCTTCCCTTGCGACGCAGTGGCTGGAAGAGCGAGGGTTCAGTCGTGCCTGTCCCTCTACAGGAGGAAAATTCTAAAATAGCAGAAATCGTGTGGGGACGATGTTCTAGCATTTTTTTGCATCTTGTTGGGATATGTTTTAATTGTTCGTCCAAAATCCCCCTGTAGGGGGACATGCCCAACCTAAAGCGAGGCGCAGGCTGCAGGCTGCTCGCCAGCCGGATCTCTCGCCTCGGCACGGGCGGCGGGAACGTGGCGGCTCACCCGGGCGTGGGGCTCCCAGCGGCGACCCCGAGCACCAGCAGCAGTGGCGACGGCAGCAGAGCGGCTGCGACACGCAGTGGCCCTCAAAGTCGGGCGTGGCCCTTTGCAGGAGGAGTATTGAAAATAGAAAAAACTAGTCTGGGGACGATTCTGGAGTATTTTTTGTATCAGTTTTGAATTTTTGTTTGGGTATTCGTCATTTTTCGTCGAAGATCCCCCCTTTCGAAGGACATGCCCGACCTAACACTGGCCCGACGACGATTTTTCTGTCATCCATGTCCCATTCTTCGTCCAAACTCCGCGTGTAGGAGGACACGCCCGACCTAACACCGGCCCGACGACGCCCGCCCCAGTGAGGACGAAGCACGGGCGAGGGTGCTCACCCACAGCGCTTGGAGGAGGGCACCGAGGCGGCGCGCGATGCAGAGGCTGCCCAGCCCTATGATGTTGTTGCTGTCCTCCCGTGTCGTCCCCGTCAGCGTGTCTCCCTCGCCTCCTGGGGTAGTCTCCCTTTTCGGTTGGTGGCGCCACCTTTAAAAACCGACCCCGCCTCCCTGCAATGGAGGGGCAGGACTGGGGACGGCTTCAGGTCCTAGACCAAACTCGCCGTGAGTGAGTGAGTGAGTGAGTGAGTGAGTGAGCCCTATGATGTCCCAACTCACTTTAGCCTTGATCGCCACAAAGAGCTTTGAGCACCACGAAAACGCCCACACTGGATATATTTTTTCACGTGTCGGGCCCTGGGGGGCGATGCTCGTCCGACATTGCGCTAGCGCGTCTGGCAGACACTGCTTCGATACCTCTCTGGGTGCTCGAAATTACTTTTGGAATGTAGTCCTTAAGAACGATGGGAACAATAGAAACCCAGACCATGATTCAGGCCAAGACCATGCAGAACACCGAGGAGGTGAGTGTCACGCTCCGCAGTCAAGCTGGCAGTTCCCTCGGTGCGTCCATCCGACCAGTCCCCAAGGACGCAACAGTAGCAGCCGACGCGGGCTGGACCAAATCCGCTCAGAACATTGTCTTGCGCCCGGGGCTCATCATCACGGAAGGGAGCGGCGCCAGCGGCTACCAGGACATCAATTGCGAGTTGGGAAGGCCAGAAGTGTTGGTTCTAAATATATCCCAGTAGTTCCCTCCTCGCCTGGCGCGGTTGGCGCCAGGTCGGCGAAGCTGCCTCGTGAGGGAAACGCAGGGGTGGTAAGATACACCGGGTGACAATTGTGAAAACAGAGGTTCAAGTCAAGTTGTTTCATGCTTTCAGAGTGGGTCAAGGCTGCGCGACACGTCACACCAGAGCAAGGGCCACGGTGGCCGCAGCATGCGTGAAGTAAGATTCTACGGGCAACCGGAAACACGTTGCACCCACGACGACAGGGTCGGCGGATTTCTCGTTCCGCTGAGGACGATCTGAGAGTCGCGCGCCCCGGTCCTCGCAGTGTGTCTCTTGCGCGCAGGTCGTGTCCGAACTGGTTGTTGTCAGATACTCTTCCCATTCGATCGTTCTCGGTCCTTCCAAACTGGTGTTGCAGAGGAAGAAACAAACGGCATAAACATAAATGTTTGGTGCTCCGCGCGGATTTCTCGGATCCGCACTGGGAGCCCGCTGGCGGCGCCTCCGACGCTGCCTCTGGCGCGCTCCGCGTGCCAGGGAGGGGGTCAAGCGCGGATTCAAAGAATCCGCGCGGATCGCCAAAAAGTTAATATTTTTTTTTTTTTTTTTTTTTTTTTTTTTTTCTACGTTTCCGCTGCAGCCTGGGTCTCATTTCGGGTTGGGTTTTTTCCCCGTCGTTCAGCATGGCGCTGTCGCCCCAGCGCGCGCCACTTTTGTGGATCCGAGTCTTGCTTCATTGTTGCCGTCCCTCTCCTGTCCCTCCTCCGCCTTCCCCTGGTCCTCCTGCCCCCCCGTTCCTTGAAGTCCACTCCGTGCTGCTGCTGCTGTTCGTCCTCGTCCTCTTCCGTCCTCATCTTCCTCCTTTTCTTCCTGCTCATCCGCTTGCTCATCCGCCAATTTCTCCTCGTCCTTCCCCACTGTATGCATCTCCCCTCTCCCGATGGTGTCCCACACTTGTCATCTTGAACTCCAAGCCAGTCGTGATACACCTCAGCGTACACGGACAGCAACGCAGTGGGAGAGGGATGGGCGGCATGGATAGGATGTCAGATGCGGCGCGAGCGCACCTAGCTTGCCCTCCTCCCCCTCTCTCTCTTCCCCTCCTCTCCTCCCCCTCTCCCTCCTCCCTCCCCCTCCCCTCTCCCTCCCCCTCCCCTCCCCCCCCCTCCCCCTCTCCCTCCTTCCCCTCTTCTCTCTTTCCGCCCCCCCTCCCCCCTCCCCGTGCGGCGCCCTGCCCGCGTGCCTCTCGCGCAGCCCTTGTTTTTTTTGAGGGACGGCACCGGGCCCTCCTGCCCCTGCCCCCCTCCCTCCCTCGCTCCCCCCTCTGCCCCTCCCCCTCCCTCCCTCTCCCTCTGCCCCTCCCCCTCCCTCCCAATTGCACAACACGACTACGACTCTCCTCTCTCCCCTGGTGGCGTCCGGGGAATGGCCGGCCCCCCTCCGCGTACTGGTTATTGTACACGCAGGATTCCCGGGGAACGGTTTTCGCTGGGCCTTTTGTTCAAAACGCTGCTCTCGCTGAAGCGCTGGCCTCATTTTCGGACCACCGCTCGCTCCGAATCGTGCTCCCGCTGCAGCGCTGGCCTCATTTCCGTGCTTCCGCTCGTTCTCAATCGTGCTCCCGCTGCAGCGTTGGCCTCATTTCCGCGCTTCCGCTCGTTTCGAATCGTGCTCCCGCTGCAGCGCTGGCGTCATTTCCCGTGCCATGCCACGGCATGCAATGCCATGCTAGGTTGCGTTCCGCTGCGCGATGCCATGCCTTCTGCTGAAGCTGTGCTATGCAGTGCTTAAGTGCCACGTCGTGCTATACAATGCTGCGCTTTGATCTTCAACGCCATGCTATGCAATGTTATGTTCGGGGCCGCTGTGCGATGCCATGCTTTGCGTTGCAAAGCTTTGGGATACAATTCTTCACTACGCCACGCCACGCCATGCTGTGACATACTACGCTTTGCGGTGCTCTTCTACGCCATGCCATGCCGTGCTCTACAATGCATCGCGTACCCTTTCGGGATCATTGCCCTGCTCGACATCCGACTGTGCGAGTAGAGAGGGGATCTACGCCATGGTAAGGGATGGGAGGGAGTGGTAGGATGTCAGATATGACGCGAGCGCACCTAGCTTGGACCCTCCCCCTCCCTCCCTCCCCTCTGCCCCTCCCCCTCCCTCCCAATTACACAACATGACTACGACTCTCCTCTCTCCCCTGGTGGCGTCCGGGGAATGGCCGGCCCCCCTTCGTGTATTGGTTATTGTACACGCAGGATTCCCGGGACGCGGTTTTCGCTGGGCCTTTTGTTCAAAACGCTGCTCTCGCTGAAGCGCTGGCCTCATTTTCGGACCACCGCTCGCTCCGAATCGTGCTCCCGCTGCAACGCTGGCCTCATTTCCGCGCTTCCGCTCGTTCCGAATCGTGTTCCCGCTGCAGCGTTGGCGTCAGCGTTTCCAGCCCCATGCCACGGCATGGTTTTCGGTCCTTTCGAATAGGTCCCAAAATTCTGAAAATGGCCCGCCCCCCCCCCGAAGAAATCATCGGACGTGATTACACATTCGGTGCCGGTGCGTTGAGTTTTTCGGCCGCATAAGCCAACCCACTTTGGGGCGTCACCACGCCATTCTATGTCAGGCTAGGCGTCCTCAAGTCCGCGCTTCCGCGCTTGGTTTCTT